GGGCCTGGCCCTCAACACGGGGGACGCCCTAGGCGGAGGGGTTGGGGGGGTGCAGTGCTGGATCAGGGGCCCGGCGGCAAGCCACATACCAGCCATGCGAGCCTGGGTCGGTGAGCACACCCACTGCGCCTGTCCCCTCACTTGTGGTTTGAAGGTAGTAACAGGGCTGTCTCATCAGTAGGCCTGATCAGAGGATTCCACCGAGTGCACGCTGTGTTGGGGACCTGATGATAGAAATCCAAACTCCTCATCCTCACATGTCCCTGGATTTGAAGGGCAGGAGGTGGGGTCTCAGAAAACCATTTGCTTGCTGGGTGCAGTGGCTCACACCCATAATCCCAGCACTTTGGGAGGCCGAGGTGAGAGGATTGCCTGAGACTCCAGGTTGAAGAACAGCCTGGTCAACTTGGTGAGACCTCATCTCTACAGTAAATTTTAAAAAAAAAGTAGCCGGGCATGGTGCTGTGTGCCTGTAGTTCCAGTTACTTGGAAGGCTGAGGCAGAAGGATCACCTGAGCCCAGCAGGTTGAGGTTGCGGTGGCTGTGACTGTGCTCCAGCCTGGGTGACAGAGTGAGACTTTAACTAAAAAAAAAAAGAAAGAAAGCTGTTTGTTTAAATCAACACTGAGAAGCATGTCCATTCTGTGGCTAGGCACATTGGGGCTCTGGAAGGGTGTGTTTAGACTGCAACTTTAGACGCTGGTGAGGGCACAGCCTGGGCTGAGACCCCACTCCCTGAACTCCCGGAGGCCCAGGCCATGGGCTAACAATGATCGTTTGGAAAACTTCGCCATTTTCTGGGACAGGGCTGCCCCCTTCCCTTTTGCTAGGACACAAAATGGCAGATGAGGTTTCTGTGTGAGGCAGAGTTCCCTTTGAGATCTCTGCCTTTTTTGGTGGAGACGAGGTCCTACTATGTTGTCCAGACTGGTCTTGAACTCCTGGGCTCAAGTGATCCTCCTGCCTCGGGCCTCCCAAAGGGCTCGGATGACAGGTGTAAGTCACCTTGTGATTATTATTATTTTTTTTTTTGAGTTGGAGTCTCACTCTGTCACCCAGGCCGGAGGGCGGTGGCACACTCTCAGCCACTGCAGCCTCGACCTGCTGGGCTCAAGCAATCCTTCCACCTCAGCCTTCCAAGTAGCTGGAACTACAGGCATGTGCCACGATGCCCAGCTAAATTTTTTATTTATTGCAGAGATGAGGTCTTGCCAAGTTGCCCAGGCTGGCCTTGTGAGATCTTAATGAGAGCCTTCCAACAGAACCACAGACTTCCACGGACGTGTCCATTAAGAGTATTTTACAAGTGTGCAAATAACTCTATTTTTTTTTTTTTTTTTGAGTCAGAATCTCACTTTGTCTCCTACGCTGGAGTGCAGGGGCACAATCACAGCTCACCACAGCCTCAACCTCCTGGGCTCAGGTGATCCTTCCACCTCAGCCTCCCGAGTAGCTGGAACTATAGGCTCATGCCGCCATGCCCGGCTAATTTTCTGATTTTGTGTGTGTGTGTGTGTGGAGATGAGTTGTCCAGGCTGATCTCAAACTCCTGGGCTCAAGCAGTCCTTCCACCTCAGCCTCCCAGCGTGCTGGGATTACAGGCGTGAGCCACCACGCCCAGCCATGCAAGTATCTCTTAATGGTGCATCAATCATGAGGCTGCCTGCTATAAGGCAGCGACAGTCAAACAGGTAACAGGCCTGAGCCATTTGGCAGGGTTAACTGTGACTCACCCTTTCTCTCCCACTCAGGAAAGCATTCAGAATTCAAGTGACACTACAAAAAAATGATAGATATGTGGAAAGGGGTGTGTTCAATAGCTTGATACAGTTGTTTCACAATGTATACATAGATCAAAACATTCACATTGTACCCATGAATATATACGATCGTTACTTGTCAATAATAAATGGTATTTATCAAAAATAAAGATTTAAATTAGAATAAAAAGAGAACAAAGGCTAGGCATGGTGGTTCACATTTGTTTTTTGTTTTTTTGAGGTGGAGTCTCACTCTGTCACCCAGGCTGGAGTGCAGTGGCACACTCTCAGTCACTGCAGACTCGACCTGCTGGGCTTCAGTGATCCTTCCGCCTCAGCCTTCCAAGTAGCCAGAAATACAGGCACGTGCTATCATACCCAGCTAATTTTTTGATCTATTGCAGAGACGAGGTCTCATCATGTTGCCCAGGCTGGTCTCAAACCCACGGGCTCAGGCAATCCTCTTGCCTCAGCCTCCCAAAGTGCTGGGATTATAGGCTTGAGCCACCATGCCCAGCCTGTGGCCGAAGAAGGAGGATCGCTTGAAGCTAGGAGTTCAAGGCCCAGCAACATAGCAAGACTCCATCTGTACAAAAAATTTAAAAATTAGCCAGACATGACAGTGTGCACCTTTAGTCCCAGCTGCTTGGGCTACTGGGAAGACTAAGGCAGGAGGATCACTTGAGCCCAGGAGCTGAAGGCTGCACTCCAGCCTGGGTGACAGAGCAAGACCCTGTCACTAAAAAAAAAAAAAATTCAAGTGAGTGTGAGTGAAGGACGTTCCATTATGGAGCTAACTCTGAACCCAGCAACTGAAAACTGAACACAGAGCCTCTTACAAACACCAAGCCTGAGCTTGCAGCAAGCGTGACTGTGGTATCCAAACTACAGTCATGACCCCCAGCTATGACCCCCGGCATGTTCTGGGAGCTGCTTCTCTTTGCCTTCCGACAGTGAGGAGCCCCAGAGGTCCCCCCACCCACCCAACCTCCACGGAGGCAGGAATCGACCTCCACGGAGGCAGGAACCAACCTCCATGGAGGCAGAGGCCTACTTTCCGCACACCTGGCAGGTGAGCACCCGGCTCTCCTGGAGGCTTCCCTGGTGCAGGGTGCTCACCTCCCTCAGCAGCCAGTTCTGGCTCGCAGGCCCCACCCACCTCTTTGGAGGCACCTCAGGTCGGCCCAGGTGCTGCCTTTGCAGCCAGCTTCCCAGCCTGGAGCTTCCACAGCCCTGCCTGCCCCGGCTGCGCAGTCCTGAGTCCCTCTCCCTGACCCAGCATCTCAGTTCCTTGAGATGGGGTCAAATAAGAAAGGAGACAGAAGGCAGGGCTCAATGACTCACGCCTATAATGCCAGCACTTTGGGAGGCCGAGGTGAGAGGATTGCCTGAGCCCGAGGGTTCGAGACCAGCCTGGGCAACCTGGTGGGACCTCATCTCTACAAATACATCAAAAAATCAGCCAGGTGTGGTGGTGTGGTGTGCATGCCTGTGACTCCAGGTACTTGGAAGGTTGAGGCGGGAGGATCGCCCGAGCCCAGCAGGTGGAGGCTGCGGTGGCTGTGAGCGTGCCACTGCCCTCCAGCCTGGGCGACAGAGGAGACTCCAACTCAAAAAAAGAGAGAGAGAGAGGAAGAGCTGTCAGCGAGTGTCTGCAGGCCCTTCTTGCTGCTGGGGAAGGCTGGGGGCGTCTGAGGAGGCAGGTGGGGGTGGAAGAGGGGCAGGAGGCCCTGCCTCAGCCACTGGTCCCCTGATGGCTTGAAGCCGCAGGAAGGAGCCAGTACCGGTAAATGGCCACTGGGTGGCAGCACGACCCAAGGAATGAGGTTAGCGACCTGGCCCCGCCCCCAAGTCGTCTGCCAGGGAGGTAGCCTCAGCCACCGCCCCCTCCTTCCCCCCCGTCCTCCTCAGCGGACACTTGACAAGATGGAGACTGCCGGGCACCCGGCTCCCACGGGCCTTCGCGGGTGTATTTACTGAACGTCTGCTGTGTGTGGGCCACTGAGGCCGCAACGCTGAGCCAAGCCTGAGATGCACAGGGTCAGAGGCCTGGGGTTCTGGCCCGTCTCTCTCCTCCCGGAGGCACCGGGCGGCAGCAGGGAGTGATGGGGGCTGCTTCTCTGTGAGCCCGGCATTCCCAGAGGGGACGTGTGGCCCCAAGGAGGCAAAAATTGGTTCTCACTCTTTTCAGGCATAAAGCACACATGTGCATACCATGTATAAACAAGCAGTGATATTAAAGTTTCGAGGGCGGGAGCCAGTTGGGGGAGGATGGCTGAAAAAAGGCACCTAGAGCCAGGCTTGGTGGCTCATGTCTGTGATCCCAGCGCTTTGGGAGGCCAAGGCGGGAGGATCGCTTGAGCCCAGGGGTTAGAGACCAGGTTAGGTAACATGGCAAGACCTCATCTCTGCAAAATAAAAATAAAAAGTGGTCGGGAGCGGTGGCTCACGCCTGTCATCCCAGCACTGTGGGAGGCAGAGGCCAGGGGTTTGCCTGAGCCCAGGGATTTGAGACCCGCCCGGGCAACTTGGCGAGACCTTGTGTCTACAATAAATCAAAAAGTTAGCCGGGTGTGGTGACACTCAACTGTGGTTCCAGCTACTTGGAAGGCTGAGGCGGAAGGATCGCCTGAGCCCAGCAGGTGGAGGCTGCGGTGGCCGTGAGCTTGCCACTGCACTCCAGCCTGGGCGACAGAGTGAGACTCTGACTCAAAAAAAAAAAAAAAAAGCCGGGCTCGGTGGCTCAGCCTGTAATCCCGCACCTTTGGGAGGCTGAGGTGAGTGGATTGCCTGAGCCCGCGGGTTCAAGACCCGCCTGGGCAGCGAGACCTCATCTCTACAATAAGTCAAAAAATCAGCTGGGCGTGTTAGCGCATGCCTGTAATTCCGGCTCCTCGGAA